GGGGGGGGGGGGTTAATATACCACTTGACACATTTGAGTTCAGGCGCCAATTAGTTATAAATAAAATAATTTAATGGACACTTTGCGTTTTTTTCCTGTCGTTGAAGAATTATTTATCGTTGTTCTGTTCATTTGATGAGTTCTCGAGTTGCTTGTATCGCTCTTGGCTTTGGTAACTGATGCCATTGTTTGATAAGTAGAGGTAGTTGTGTGTGCACCAACAGTGCACTGTATGACGGCAGCATTGATCGTTTTGGTGAAAGGGAGGATGTCGTCGTTTTGGGGTCTACAGTTTCGACGTGAAGAGTCGGCTTTTACGTCAGTTATGGTATTTGCATTGACGTAGGTATCAGGGTTCATAAATTTTGCGAGGTGAAAATTTTGTGGAGATATGACCCCCATGTTACCTATGCACTCAACAACTCTTGTTATTGCATGAATTCACTCAAGTGCACTTTAAATTTACTAAATATCCACGAACAATGCTGATAGAACAGCTGCCAAGCAACGGAAATTCATTTACAATGGTGAATAATGGCTTTTAGAAAATATTCCCCTCGATTTCATTCATGAATCTTATCAGTAGGTAAACGAAAAGTCTGGTTTTCTGTCTCAGGTTATCTCTTAACGAGGGTTGAGAAGAAAATTGGCTCACCGGAAAAACCATTGTCCGATCTCGGTCTCATATCGTATCGTAGCTATTGGAAAGACGTGCTACTACAGTATCTCTGCAACTTCGGTGGAAAGGAGCTTTCAGTAAAAGGTGACGCACAACTCTTGTTATAATCAATAAGTTCATTCGTGAATTCGTGAAATGCGTCAAACGCAATGGTGAATAAATTGTCTGGAAAATACGCTGTTGAAAATTCTTGGCTGGAATTTCCGGTGCAGTTCTTCGAAAATTTTATCGCTTTATATATTTGGTGAAATGTCGAGGAATTTTGTCATTGAAAATTCAAAATTTTTGGGGAAAGGAAATAGAAACTGTAAATTTCAGTTCAATTATTCCATGGAAATTGATAGAAGTTAAGGAAATTCAGAAAAATATATTTTTGAATCTTTAATTCATTGCAAATTCAGAGTAATTTGGTACTGAATATTCAAGTTTTAATTGCAAATTTAAGTAAGTTGAGGATTCTCGTCTCCCTGCTGCTCAAAAATTTGGATATTCATCGAATTTTCAGGGAAATATGAAATTTTAATTTTTTCTGACCATGTACAGCCTCTCATCAATATTTTGCTTTTACTGTCCGAGATCGGCTGCTGAAAAATGTACAATTTCATAGAATTTTCAGTGAAACATGAAATTTCAATATTTCTCCCTCTCAATTGAATTCCGAACCACTCTCCTGGAAATTACTAGCCAACAGTCCATGAAATTTCAATTTTCTTCTAAGAATGTTCTGTCTCTCATAAATATTCTGCTTTCCCCCGCTAGTAGACTTCAGCTGCTCAAAAATTTAAAATTTCATTGAATTTTCATTGAAACATGAAATTTTTCCCTCTAAACTGAATTTAGAATCACTCTCCTGAAAATGACTACAGTCCATGAAACATAACAGTCCATGAAATATAATTTTTTTCAACACTCTACAGCCGCTTATAAAGATTTTGCTTTAACTGCTATCATTCATCAACTGCTCAAAAATTTAAAATTTTATTAAATTTCCAACGAAACATGAAATTTCCATATTGTTTCCCCTTAAATTGAATTCAGAATCACTCTCCTGGGTTATTAATCAACAGTCCATTAAATTTCAATTTTTTTCCAACAATGTAGCCTCTTATAAATATTCTATTTTCACTGCTATCAGACATTAGCAAGGAGATGGCAATTGACTCATACGACATTGTCAGCACTCTCCAGGCCCTCGGTATGATGAAATACTGGAAGGGAAAACATATTATCCTGAAAAAACAGGTGAGACTTTATGAAAAATATTCTCTTTTGTCCATTTTTTTTCTTCCCTGTCTTTGAAGCAACTTGGATTTTATCCAAGTGCAGTGAGGACAATACCGCATTGATACACGTCCCACAAGCAATACAATAACTCACAATAGACGTGTATAGATGTAGGACCGTTGGATATTGGAAAATTGCGATCAATGTCACTCCTTGTTGCGCGCAGGCCCAAGCGCAATCCAACAATATTTTTTGAACACTTTTCATTCATTGAATTACCAACAACCGGGAATTTTCCATTGGTCCTCTGACAATGGCCAGCATTTGTTATCGATAAATGACACATCTGCAATTACTTCATTCATTCATCACTAAATTTCTGAACACATTGATTGAAGAAAGTCCCAAAACAATGACAAATTCAGCGTTTCAGACACCCAGATAAGTATTAAAAATTCACTATACGTAATGCGTGAGTAGAAATGCGATCCGACCTTGACAGGTTTCTCACTCTTTCAACACGTATATTATTATTTTTTTTTCATCATTCTCTTTTCGCAATCGTATGTCGCATGATTCGCAGGACGTAATCGACGACTACAAGGAGAGGGTAAAACGACGTGGCCCTGTCTACAAAGAAATCGATCCGGAGTGTCTGAAATGGAATCCCTTCCAGCCACCCAAGACGCCCTCAGCCACCAACTGAACTCAGCAGACGAGTAAGGGACAATGATGTCGTTGACGCCAACCAGACAACACCGACAACCAACACCAAGATTACTGGTCTTTTTTTCTCCCCTGTTCATTTTTCATGGCCATGTGGAGAATCGAGGGAAAATCCCTCCTAATTGGAGCTAATGTAAGGGAAGATTCACCCTGGTCATGTATGAGCTACGATCGGAGACAAAGTATTGAAAGGGGGGGAATGCCAGGAGGTGCCCTTCCAGTACTCACGGGGAAGACGAGGCATCTTTTCGTTCGCAAATGCATGACGTTAATGCGCAACTCGGGGAAATGATTCGAAAGGGTATGTCTCGGAATTATTTCAAACGAACCGCTGCGTGATCGTACACTGAGAAAAACAAACTGTCCATAACTAACTTTTTAGCTTCTCTCCTATTCATTTCGTTTTTACTGCACATTCGACATTCAATGGATTATTAAACTTCATTATACAATGAAGTCTCCATAAGTACAGAGTGTGTGAAATATTTCACGATCGATCCTCCATGAATACATGCATCAAAAATTCATTGAAACTGTAGGAATTCCCGCAATACATAACAAAGTATCATAACTTGCAATGTATTGAGTAAGAATTCACCTTCGTCATGGCTTTTTGAAATTTAGAGGATATCTGGTGCTTTTCTGCGGGAGAAATCGAGTGGACTTGTTTTAAAAAACCATAACATTGAGTTAGGTCTATTTAATTTGAAATTCTAAGATATGTCCTAGAAGAAAAACCGTAACTCGGGGACATGATTCAAAACGGTGAAACGATTTGAAAAGGTTTGCACTAAAAATTCGAAAAGATTCAACTCAATCTTGTAGTTAAAAAAGAACTAACTCAATTCCTCCCTCAAGAAAGCACTAATTCACCTGAAATTTAAAAAGGCATCAATCAAGTAAACTCTTCTGAAGCTCGAACAAAACAGCAGCTGTCCACAATTAACTTTTTAGCTTTCTCTCTATTTATTTTATTTTTGCTTCATATTTGACATTCAATGGACTCCCAAACTTCATTATACAACGAAGTTCCCGTAACTACAGAGTGTGTGAAATATTTTACGATCGCTCCTACATAAATAAACGTGTCAATAAATTCACTGAAACTAGGAATTCCCTACTTTCTTGCAAGAGTAATCGAGTCAACCCTTTTTAAAACCACAACATTCGAGTTAAAACTATGGAATTTTGAATTCTGAGACAGCCCACTCTGAATCGTTTCTTCGAATTGTCATTTTAGCGGCACTGAAAAAATATTTCATGAGATTACTTTCTTTGTAACGAGAATCCTCCGCTAACAACGGGATTTTCGTTCATTAATTAATTAATCTCGTGCCTTAATCACTTGAAACCTTCGCTTTCTCATGATTCCCAAGGTAAATTAATAATGAGTTTTGGGGAGACACCATTCCAGGGATTTTGGGGATGAAATAATGTGCAAATGGGTGAGAGTTATTTACCAACTTTAATTACAATTAACTAGTTGGGAGGGGGAAAACTACCTAGAGTGAGCCTCGGGGCAATCAAGATGTAATATAATATTTGTGGGTTATCATTTTAGGTAGATTCCTGGTGCTTTCAGATCAAGTACAAATTAATCATATTTGACTCATTACTGTGTCAATTGTGGGAATATTTGTAATGTTATGTAAATATATTAATTGGGTGAAACAGTTGTTTGTGAGTAGTGTGACAGTCAATTGAGTCATTAAATTTCGCAGTTGAATGAATAATCAGTCTTTATTCTATCAATCTTCAGGCATTGTTTCTGGTTTGTACTTGTCAGCGAATGGTGGCTTGTAGATACCGGTCATGGGCTGATGCATGATTGCCTTCAGTCGCCAGTACAGGGCACCACGATGCTCCTCGGAGAATGTTATTGGTGCATCTCTGTGCACTGGAAACAGCAACTCAATTATTTTTTAATGCAGTTTACAAAGTGAGTTTTATGAAAACAGGTAACAGAGGGCTTAGAAAAACAATAAATGGGGGGGAAGGTGAAATAAAAGACACGTAATGCAGTTTGGAGAAGCAGTTGGCTCTGGGTACAGACACCATTTGTTGGGAGGTGGGCAAGAGGGCGTGTAATTGCGTTAGAGGAAGTTTCCACCAGTCACTTTTCCCCTCTGCGACACTTCTCGAGCATGTGAAATCCCCGTGTAATGTCATTATCTCATTAAGTACACTATTGTACTTTAATTTGGGGAGTCGAGCGGATAAATAGGAATTTTTGGGGGAAATATTGAGCGTTGGGGATGATTAGGGACGGTTATTCATTCTCCGAAAATCAATTTTTTTCATATTGGAGGAAAACTGGGGGTTTTTAGACTCATTGGAGAATATATGAAACTAACATTTCTGATAATTAAGGAGAATTGGGGGTCTTGACGTTGGAAAAGTTAAATGAACAAATTTCTTCTTAAGGATATCCGAGTATTTTTT